ACAGAGTATGTGAGATAATAAGGCAAGAAGGCTGAGCCCAAGGAGATCTTGGAGCCAGAGACTGAGATGGGTGAATGAGGCTTGTCTGGGGAGATGACTGTTAAGGGGAAGCCTGATACATGCAAAGTATGTGGGGAGAATATTCCAGAAAGAAGAAACAGCCTGTGGACGGGCCCTGGGGGAGAAGAGCCTGCAGACCTCCTGGAACTGAATTGGCCAAGAAAGTGTGAAGCATAAAGGGGAAGAAGGGAGAAGGGGGATGCACAAGACTCCAGGGCTCTGGGGCTTCTTCCCGGACCTGTGTGACACTATTCCTGGGGAGATGGGAACCTGGGGAGATGTCTACTCACCCCAGACAGGGAACCAATGAACACAGACCGAAGTGTGGACACCACCACCGTCTCAGCTGGTGAACCAATGCGTTTTATTGGGGTTACTTACAGGAATGTGAGTGGGAGGTTACTTGCAAGAGCAAGAATGACTCGAAGACAACTCCACCCAAAGCCCACCGCAGCATGACTGAACATTCACAAAAGCAAGAACCCGAGAGTGCGCCGCACAGCCCGCAGGCCGCTCCATGGATTGGATGGGGTGTGTCTTTCGTAGGTAGGTCTTCGGAGCTCTGCTTCTTCCAGGCTGCTTGGCTGCTCTGGGAGTCTTCTGGGCAGCTGAGCTCGTCTGACAGTGTCTCCGCAATCTTTACAGCTTATATACGCTTGTGGAGAGAGGGGCCCAGTGAATCTGGTCAGTTCCACAGACTTCCAGAAGCCATTTGGAGCTGTTTACTCCCTGTCCTAATGAGTTTCCCTGCGGAATGGAGTGTTGCACCTCCCCTTAGAACATCTTGTTGTTTTACCTCCCTGTAGACATCTTAAGGAGCTTCCCTCCAAGATGGAAGGTTTTGAGCTTGGAGGGAAGCGCAACACAACAGCCTGCCTTGGAAGAAGCTCTTGGCCGCCATAGATCACCCCTTGGTCACCAGACTTGACAATGGTCAGCCTGGTGCCCAACCCTGACCCACTCTGCCAGATCAGCTCACACAGGAAGACTGGAGAATGTGCCCCAGCACCCTTCCCCCAGGAGTAAGGGCAGCAAATCAACCTGTTATGAGGGCGCTGACAGGAACTACCACCTGGACTGGAGTGAGGACCCAGCCTGGCAAGGGCCCGGCAAGGGGCAGGGTGGAAATCTCTGTGCACCCTACTATAAGGGACTTTCCACTCCCTTCTCTACAGAGGAAGACTACAGCTCCCTGGATTCAGCTCCCACTGAGCCTGCATAGAGCAGACAACCAGTGGCTAACAGAAGTTTCATGTGGGAGGGACCAAAGAAAGCCCCTACATCCTGTCCAACTGAGGGAGGCCACAGCGTAAAAGGACAGACATTTCAGTGAGGAGTCAATGTTTCCCTTGGACACATCCTTATTGTATAACCTAGGGCAGCTGACAACCTCCCTGGTCTTCATGCCCTTATCTATAAAGGAAGGGGGATGCATGAAATGATCTCCTAGACCACACTGAGCTCCCACACTCCATCCTTCTCCTCTGTTGCTCAGGGTGGGGGTGGGGGGATCACTGCCTTTATCAAGTCACTTGGCACAGCACCTGTGTGGCAGAGCTAGGATCTGGGCTGACTTCAGAAGTAGACAGTACATTTCATCCTCAGCCCAACATTCTAAAGGTCAAGGGCTAAATAGTGGAGGAAAAAGAAGTTAATTGGGGCAGCTGGGATGTGCAATAATTAGACACTAAACTGGAATTTACTTTAACCAACAAATCTTGCCGTGCGGATAGGCCAAGTGTAATTATGGGCAGTTTTGGAGACTGGGCGTTTATAGAGTGTCTACACAAATTAAGAAAAAGAAGGGAGAGCTTTGTTGAAACACCCCGGAAGTCGTTCCTGACATATTCAACTGCTTGCAATAGATGTGCTCACTATAACATACTCGGCTTGTTACAGCGGCCTGAAGAGCATCTCTCCAGGGGACAGGTTCATTAGCTGAGTCCCACCACTGTGTGCAACCGTGACAAGAAAGTCCAGGTCCTAGAGAAACTGTTTGCTTTGGACTTTGTGTCACTCTAGCCGTTCTCCCCCACCATGAAGCTGAGAGACCAACTTGGCCATCCTGAAACAGCCCAGCTAGCCAGCAGTTTGGAGATGTTAATGGAGAAGAGGCAGGCCCTGCGTTCTACTCGCCCTTCTTGCAGATGCTCAAGGCAGACAGCAGGTCCTGTTTTTGCAACCACTCTGTTCCTTGTACATTGTAGGAACACACACACACACACACACACACACACACACACACACACGTGAGTAATGATTGGCTGATTAAAAAGAAGAAGCAGATTGGAGCAGAGAGGAAGGTGCTTCCTCTGGGAGGTGACCCGCTGACCCAGACCCCTGTGTTCCTTCTGGGACAGCACACCCACCCGGAGAGAGACATGGATTTGAATTCCAGCTTCTCTTGTTATGAGTTGTGAGACTTTAATTGGCCCCGGTTCCCATCCCTGCACAGAGGGAGCTGCGATACCCATCCACAGTCACAGCTGTGAAAGCCAAATGCAGTAAGAAGCCAAAGTCCAACACGGTGACTGACACATGGTGCCCTTGGTCTTCCTTTCCTGTGGCCCTTAAGAAAGGCAGTCCCTAATGCTGCTGCACTTGTTCTAAACCTGGCCCTGACGGAATGGCAGGGAGCCAGAGGGAAGTGGCCTGCACCCAGATCTCAGTGGCTGCAGGAATCCAATTCAGTCCACATGGCTTTCTTCCAGCCCATCTTGCCAGATGTATTTGGCTTCAGCGCGAGGTTGCAAAGTGGTTATATAACAAAAAAAAGAAGAAAAAACCACACACACACACACACACACACACACACACACACACACACACACACATAGCATTTACAGAAAGCTGAGAAAGCTCATAGTTTTTAGAGCATTTTTGCATGAATTATCTCATCTGATCCTCTCAATGACCTTGAGAAGCAGCAGAGGCCTGGACTAGAAGCCCCATTTTACAGACCAAGGAACCGTGACATACAGTTTATTTGATTCATTCAATACCAAAATACTGAGGGACAACATGAAAACTTGGACAAAGATCTCTCATCCCTTGCCCTGGACTTTTTCCACACGACATCTTTATGATCATGCTTTCATCAGGCAAAAATAGAGCAAGTCCGTGTTGTGTGCCAGCTAAGAGCTCGGATTCAGAAGTAAAAGGCGGAGTCAAGTTCGGGAGAGGTGCATTCAGTATGATGGGAGCCATGGGGAAGACACAAGGAGAGGCAAGAAAGGAGGGTCACCCAGCCTGGAGGTCTTCCTGAAGGAGGAGAGGCATCAGTCCAGCCTTGGAGACAGTGAGCGGCTGTCCAGGCAGAGGAGAATGGTGGTGGAAGCAGCAGGTAGAAAGGCAGAAGCAGGTAGACAAGCAGGGTGCTCCAATGCCACAGATTTACTGGTCTGACTCCACCACCACTCTCTCTTCCATTCATTCATTTAACATATATTTATGGTGTCTGTGTGCCAGACACTGGGTGAGCTACTGGGGGAAGATGCATGAATGTGCAAGCAGATGCAGTCCCCAAGACCATGGACTTGACCATCTCCTGATGCCTGTAGGCTCAGGCAGGCAGGAAGAAGGCAGAAAGGTGGCAGGTATGTCAAGAGTGCATCCTAGGAGGCCAGGTGAAGAGGTTATAGATTTTAACCTGAAGGAGATGACCAGCCTTGATAGATTTTCAGCCCAGGATCAACACAATAAGGTTTCAGTTTCAGAAAGATTAGCTTATAAGGTAGCTAGAGAGAGTTGTCTGGAACGCCACGAGCCAGCTAGGACAAGAAAGGACTGAGTCCCTAAAGTCGAGCAGAGATGGGGAAGGATATTGATGAACTTTGCTGGCTGCTTATGTATGGGGTGAGAAAAGGAAAAGCTGGACAGCGAGACTGGGGCGGGGAGGTCTAGCCTGAGCCCCTTGAGAAGTAGATGCTATTCCCCATGATGGGAATTCTGGGAACTGTTGGTTGAGGTGCTGTGTGGCTTTTCCTGGGGAGAGGCAAACAAAAGTCTACTCACTCACCTGGGCCACTGAAGACAAAGAAAGTTCCACCCAAGTGTAGCCTAGTGAACCAGTGCCTTTTGTTGGGGTTACCACACCGAGCAGGGGAAGGGTTGCTTACAAAATATGGATGGCCCCAAAGCAGTGACATCAGCAAAAGGCTCACTCCGGCGTGATTGATTGATAACTCATGAAGCTTCCTCGTTGGAGCCTCCCTATCCTACCTCCCGGCAGCACGATCCTGCACAAGATTCTCCTCTGCCCAGCAATTGCTACTACTTATAAAGCCCCGCGCGCGCGCGCGCGCGGAAGTGCCTTGTGACTCTCGTGAGCTGCAGAAACGTCTTGTAATTTCTGAGTTTTGTTTACTTTCTGTGCCTTGTAAGTTTCATTACTTCCTACCTCTTAACGTGCCTCGTTCCAGCCTTCAGAAGAAAGTGTTCCTGATGTGGAGGAAATAGCAACATAAGTAGAATATTGGAGCAAGTCCTGTGCCTTTTGGGACAGGCTGAGTACCTGGCATCTGTGGGACATCTAGAAGGTGTTTATCAGAAGTAGTATCATTGTGTCTGCAACCTAGGAAGGAGCCTAAAGCTGGGGGTATGGCTTAGAGGGTCAAGAGTTTTAAGATGATGTTTAATGCTTGGAAGTGGGAGCCTTTTTCAAGGGGGAGTGCCCAGAAGGAGAAGAGGTCAGACACCACAAACAAACCCCAGGGAATACCCATGTTTCTTCTTTGATACCAAAATCCTACTTGGCAAACATCCAGCCATTTGACAAGTTAAGGAATCATTGGAGAAATCTTTGGTACAAGGGGGTTAAGATTAATGGGCTATAGGGACTCCAGCCTGCTGTAGCAGTTCTAGGGTCTTGCCCATCCCTGGAGCTCAATGTGATGTCACCATGTGCTTTTCTTTCTCTCTTTCTCTCTTCTCTCCTTCAGGTGTTTACAAAATATGGGAAGTGTTACATGTTTAACTCAGGCGAGGACGGCAAGCCTCTGCTCACCACAGTCAAGGGGGGGACGGGCAACGGGTTGGAGATCATGCTGGACATTCAGCAAGATGAGTACCTGCCCATCTGGGGAGAGACAGGTGAGCTGGGCCCAGAGACACTGGCACCGGGTGGTGGTGAGGGATGCAGGCTTCCCTCTGAAAGGCTGGTGTGAGCCAGGTGGGCTGCTCTCTGGCAAGGGGTTAGTGATATTCTGACAGTTGGTGAGGCTGGCATGTCCCTGGCATGGTTATGCCCCTATTTCCCTCAGATTCCTCCAGGTTGGAGAGGATAAAGAATGTGAGTACTGGGGAGAGAGAGGAGACAGGGAGAGGAGATGTAGAAGAAGGTTCACAGGAACTGATATCGTTGCGTGGGGGAGTGGATTGATTTGGGGAGAAGAGGGTGGAATAGACCAACATATTCCTCTCTAATCCATCCCAAACACCAGATCTATTCACAAAGTCCAACTGAAAGGATACCAGGATATGCCTGGGGACAAGTAGAAGAAGCTATGAGGTGTTGGAAAATCAATGGACATGGACCTGGGGATATGGCACCATGCCCATGTAAGGCCCTGGAGTTCTTTATGTGCCTGGTTCAAGTATTCGTTATTTTTATTCTGTAGTTTATCATTAGCAATCAAAGTAAGAATGTTATGGTGTGTCTTCGTTAAGGCTTCTGTTGCTATGAAGAGACAGCAACTCTTATAAGGAAAACATTTAATTGAGACAGGCTTACAGTTCAGAGGTTAGTCTATTGTCATCATGGCAGGAAGCATGGCAGCATGCAGGCAGACATGGTGCTGAAGAGGTACCTGAGAGTTCTATGTCTGGATTGGCAGGCAGCAGGAAGAGTAGGTGAGCCACTGGGCCTAACATGAACTTCTGAAACCTCAAGGCCTACCCTCAGTGAAATACTTTCTCCAAAAAGGCCACATCTAATCCAAAAGGCCACACTTCCTAATAGTGCCACGCCCTACAGGCCTATGGGGGCCATTTTCATTCAAACTACCACATGGGAGTGGGGGAGACTAAGTCATTGATCACAACCTAGCAAAAGGAAGAAATGCACCACAGTAGAAGTGGGGACAGAGGAAGAGGCTTTGGGCACACAGGGTATTTTTGAATGGGGTCTTGAGATTGTTCTGAATTATCTAGGTGAGACTAATGTCATCAAAAAGTTGTCTATAAGAGAGGCATAGGAAGAGAAGGCAATGTGATGTAGCCACAAGCTAAGGAATGCAGGAAGTTTCTAGAATTTCACCAGAAAGAGAATATCAAGATGTATCCAAGAGTAACAGCCAGATATAAATAGGGTCCATATAGTAGTAATTTTGTGCATGAGGCACAGCAGGGAATATCTTAATAAGTGTTCTATTGCTATGAAGAGACGCCAATACCGTAGCAACTCTTATAAAGGAAAGCATTTAATTGGGGCTGGCTTACAGTTTCAGAGGTTTAGTCCATTGACATCATGGGGAGAAACATGGCAGCATGCAAACACACACAGTGCCAGAGAAGTAGCTGAGAGTTCTACATCTGGGTCTTCAGGCAGAGGGAAGAAAGAGAGAGCCTCTGGGCCTTGCTCTTGCTTCTGAAACCTCCAAGCCCACCCCTAGCTTCCTCCAAGACCACACCCACCCTAACAAGGCCACACTTCCTAATTATTTCAGATAATGCCACTCCCTGGTGACCAAGCATTCAAATATATGAGTCTATGGGGGCCATTCTTATCCAAACCACCACATTCCACTCTCTTGCTCACATAGGCTTGTAGCCATATCATAATGCAAAAATGCATTCAGTCCAACTTCAAAAGTCCCCATGGTCTATCACAGTCTCAACACTGTTTCAAATTCCAAAGTTCAAAGTCTCTTCTGAGACTCAAGGAAATCTCTTAACTGTAACCTCCTGTAAAATCAAAATCAAAAAGCAGATCATACACTTCCAACATACAATGGCACAGGATATACATTACCATTCCAAAAGGGAGGACAGGAAGCAAAGTGAGAAAGAAATACTGGACCAAAGAAAGTCTGAAAACCAGCTGGGCAAATTCCAAACTGTGCATCTCCATGTCTGATGTCAAAGGGCTCTTCAGATCTCCAACTACTTTCAGCTTTGTTGACTGGAACACACTTTTCTTTCTTGGGCTGGTTCCACACTTAGTCTGTAGTTCTCAGCAAGTATCCCATGGCTCTGGCATCTCCAATATCTTGGGGTCTCCAACATAATCCAGGCTTCACCTTGGGCTCTCTAACACAATCCAGGCTTCACCTGCATAGCTTCACGCAATGATCTCTCTAGGCCTCCATTCAAGGACACCTCTGCCACATGCCTGGCCTCAGCAGCTCTCTCTAGACGTGGAGGGAGATTCCACAACACCTTTCTAATATCCTTGACTCTAAAGACAGAACCATGTAGCTGAATCTGCCAAGTTCTGTTGCTTGATGGGAATTTGGCCCCCTTGTTCAAATACATTTTCATAGGCTTTCTGTTTTCTGTGGTTTCCTTCACGGCTTATGCTTTTCTTTAATCCCTTTGCACTAATTGGAAGCTTAGTTGGGTGGGGTCTCGCCAGGAGGTCACAGCTCCCTCTTTCCAATTTAGCATAAGGCTTTTCTTTAAATTTTTTATCTCTTTGAGCATTGGACTTAGCTCCATCACACTTCCTGGTGCTCCCTTTCTCCTCAAACTGTACATTTTGTATTTTTCCTTTCTCATCTTGCTCCTTTTTATTATAGATCTGCAAAAGAGTGGCCACTAATAACCACATGACACAGTCCATAGTAGGCTGTCTTGAAATCTCCTCTGCTAACACCATTAATCAAAAATTCTTCAATTTTGCCTCAGGCAGATTTTTCTGGACAAGGACAAAAAGCAGCCATATTCTTTGCCAAAATATCACAAGAATGGTCTCTGGACCACTTATATTCTTCCCCACTGAAACTTCTTGAGTTTGGCCCCCACAGTTCAAATTGCCCTCAGCACTGTCTTCTATGTTCCTACTAGTATGGCCCATTAAGTCCCACTTAAAATGTTCAACTGCTTTCCTAATCCAAAATCCTAAAATCCATATTCCGCCAACAAACAGCATGGTCAAGCAGATCACAACAATACCCCCACTCCCTAGTATTAACTTCTTTCTTAGTCATTGTCCTATTGATGTGAAGAGACACCATGACCATGGCAACTCTTATAAAGGAAAGCATTTGATTGGGGCTGGCTTATAGTTTCACAGGTTTAGTCCATTATCGCCATGGCAGGAAGCATGCCAGCATCCAGGCAGACATGGTGCTGAAGAAGGAGCCAAGAGTTCTACATCCAGATCAGCAGGCAGCAGGAAGAGAGAGAGCTACTGGGTGTGACTTCAGCTTCTGAAACCTCAAAGCCCAACCCCCAGTGACATACTTCTTCCAACAAGCCCATACCTCATAATCCTTCTAAGTAGTGCCAATCCCTGATCACTAAGCATTCAACTCTATGAGCCTTTGAGGGCCATTCTTATTCAAACCACCACAGGGACTGTGGCTGAGAGAGTGAGATGAGCCTTCAGAAACCAATAGAGAAGAGGGAGTAGAGAGCAGATCTAGTAGAAGGGAGAACCTGAGCCTTCAGGATGGAGCTGAGGAAGAGAGAGGCCAGACAGCTCTGACTCTATATTTTGCTGCCCCACCCTATGATTACCCTCACTGAGGAAGAGCCTGAGGCCTGGCTTCTCTGTGGCCCTGCCTTCAGCTGCCAAGGCAGGAGGCTCCCTACCCTGAAGATGACCAGCTGCAATGATAAGCATTCTCTCACAATGGAACTGTCTCCTTCTCCCCTAGCACCTCTCATTTGAGTATCCTGATGGAGAGAGGTGACAGTGTCCATTGACCCCACATGATAGGTATCTCTCAGCGGCTTCAGCTGAGAAGTAAAATCTCCCTATCCCACGTGCAGTAGGATAAAAGTCTGTGTTCCCACCCACTTAGCTCTGGCATCCCCGAGAGCTAGTCATCTGGACGGGGCTTTTGAGAACATTCTGAGGCTAGGCTGAATGTTTGGACCTTGGGATTTCTGATCTTCTAACCCCAAGTCCTGGGAGTAGTTTCCCAAAGGGTATCCCTTCTTAGAGAAGCCCAAACATACCTGCTTGTTGAATCACCTGGAGGAAAAGAGAGAAACAGGGATGTCAAATGGGGGCTGAAGCCCTACCTAAGCAGAACTTAGTCATATCCTTCCAGGGCAACTTGGCAGGTGCTATCCTGATCCCTTGATTTTGGAACAGAAGCATATATACAGACAATGCACACACAATCCAGGACCTCCATCACAGACATCCTCATGTAGCCCAGGTCTCGACATCAGTAGGGTCTTGAACCTGAACACCAGCTGTTGGCAGAAAGGACTCTGATGATACAGGGCTTTGTCGTCAGAGCCACCTAGGAAGTCAGCATCCTCCACAGACATGAGTGATGAATGAACCTCAGAGGTCTTCCATACTAGGCCAACCTGTCTGTTTACCTGAGGCCCAGAGCAAAACAATGATGTGTTTGACATCATTCAGTAAGTTCACAGCCAAGCCAAGCCAGTTGTGAACCAGGCTTGACCACGAACTATGCCAAATCGGAGAAGTTCCTCATTGAGAACAAGCCTCATTTCTAACATGGAGCAGGAACTGGGTTGTTGTCAAAGATGCAGAAGATGCAAGATGAAGGCCCCACCTTTTTAGAAGCAGATCAACTGACTCTCACTCTATGCTCTCTTTTAAAGTTGGACATCTGGGGACACCAAGCAGCAACTCGAGGCTCTGCAGGGAATGGGTAGAAAGCAGGTGGGGGCAAGAAACTGGTCACGGGAGAATCTGATCAGCACTGTCCAGTAGAACTTCCTGGGATCAAGGAAATGTTCTTTGTGCTGTTCAGTATGTTATCTGTGGCTAGGGAAATGAGGAACTACATTTTTAATATCACCTTTTTTTAAAAAAAGTTTTATTTATTATGTATATAGTGTTCTGCCTGCGTGTACGCCTGCAGGCCAGAAGAGGGCACCAGATCTCATTATTGATGGTTGTAAGCCACCATGTGGTTGCTGGGAATTGGACTCAGGACCTCTGG